GCCCAGCCTGCCCAACCCGGCTCTGCCCATTTCAGATCCAGCCGGAGACAGGCCCCCTGGGCGGCGGCATTCGCGTCACGATCCTCGGGTCGAATCTGGGGGTCAGGGCGGACGACGTCAAGAGCGTCACCGTGGCTGGCAAGATTTGCACCTTTGAGCCGGAACGGTACTCCGTGTCCACCAGGTGAGTGGACAGCCGGTGGCCTGGGCTCCATGGGCCAGGCCAGTCCCCACCGTGGGGGCCCGGGGCAGATGCGGAAGAGGGACATGGGGTGTGGGTGCCCAGGACTCCCCACCTGACGTGCCAGTCAGGCAGGGTCTGGGGTGAGCCTTGAGAGTGACCCCGCCCTGCCTGTTGGCCCCCAGGATCGTGTGTGCCATCGAGGCCGCGGAGGCGCCCTTCACGGGGGGCGTGGAGGTGGACATCAACGGGAAGCGTGGCCACTCTCCACCCCACATCCAGTTCACCTACCAGGTGAGTGCCTGGCTCCCCTGACCAGGTCGGGACGGACCGGCGGGTCTGGCCACTGCTGCTGACTCCTGGGCGGTTGGGGGCGGCGCCCCTTCGACGACAGTCACGATTGAGGGGTGGGGAGGGCTGCCGCTCAGCCCTGACCTGAACGCACCCGCCTCTCTCCTAGGAGCCCCAGCCCCTCAGCGTGGAGCCGAGGGAGGGGCCGCAGGCAGGCGGCACCACGCTGGCCATCAACGGCACCAACCTGGACACGGGCTCTAAGGAAGACGTGCGCGTGACCATTGGTGGTGTCCCTTGCAATGTGTGGGTGTCGCCTGCGGGCCCCCCGAGCTCTGGTCCGCCCAGCCCTTGGGACCCTGCGTGTGTCCTGGAGGGAGCGGTGCCGTGGGCCTGACCCCTGGGCCCTTGCCCCCTGGTCCCCTTGCCCCCTGGCCCCCTTGCCCCCTTGCCCAGGGCTGGAGTTGGTCTCAGGGTGGGGTTGACACTAGCGACGTTCACCTGCAGGACGCAGTTTGGGGCGCAGCTCCAGTGTGTCACGGGCCCCCAGGCAGCCCCGGGGCAGCTGTCCTTGGAGATCTACTACGGGGGCTCACTGGTGCCCAGCTCCGGGATCACCTTCACCTACCGCGAGAACCCCGTGCTGCGGGCCTTCGAGCCCCTGCGAAGCTTCGCCAGGTGTGTCCTCTGCCCTGCCCACCGCCCACCAGGGCTCCCCCTGCCACCCCCACCCCCAGCTACTTCCCAAGTCCCCTCCGCCCACTGCCTGGTGAGGATGCGGGAGGGCTGGTCTGGGTGGCAGGAGGAAGCTTCCGTAAAAACCCCACTGCGCCCCTAGATCCACTCCCTCCTAGAAAGCCTGACAGGCGGGCCCCAGAGCCCCCTAGCCCAGAGACGCTCAAGGATGGTGGGACTCACAGTCACAGTGCTCTGAGCACACCCCAACATACAGCAGGCACGGGTTCACGGGGACCTGCGTGTGCCCCCAAAACCAGTTTGGGGCCGGGGATTTCAACCCCGCCTTCCCTAAGCCCACCACATGGCCAGCATGGGGGTGGGGGTCCGGCTTCACAGGGCGCCTGCTCTGGAGCTGGCTGGGTACCTCCCTTGCCCAGCTGTGCCCACTCAGGCACCCCCCACCCCCAGTGGCGGCCGCAGCATCAACGTGACCGGGCAGGGCTTCGGCCTGATCCAGAACTTCTCCATGGTGGTCATCGCCGAGCCTCTGCAGCCCT